TGCCCTATTCGCAAAAGATTACAAAAATGCTTGTAAAGGCCAAAATGGCCGAGCACGCATGTCGAAGAATAAACATGAGATAAAAGAGTCTTAAGCAAATAGGTCCGTTAATTGTTGTACATTCTCTAGCAAAAGGAAGATAAGAGATTATATAGAAGTTAATAATCAGGAAATACATTGAATGTAAGGAATAGTTGGAGATGAATGAGAACTACTTATGCTCGATTAAATAAAGTTGTGTTGAGCCGCAATCGAAAAGATGATCCAACCTGTCTACTGTGGATTAGATTTAACCCCACCCGCCCAAAATTTAGATTAAGCCCATTAAACGAAGCAAACGAACAAGATTATGCAATTTAATGCGCCTTCCTTGCGACATTAAACTTTAATTCCCATAGGCATACAGGCTACTAAGGATTTCATTACCCGGCTTAGAGGCGCGCAAGCACACACCTCATTATTTAAACCTGAGATGGTCACGGACTTGGCTAATATTATTCCCGATGTTTCCTTGGGTCATTAAGTCTTGATAGCCTGAGGCCGGGATTAGGCTCTTTTAACCATCTTATTTAAGATCGGTATAGAAGTTAACCCACAGACACAGAAACACTTGGGTAAAGTTGCCACGACCAATATTAAAGATAGTTATTTTTTGTATGCAAGTAGAGTTTCGAGATTATCAGTGGTTCAGTAATATGAGATGTATTGATCCACTTTTGTTTAAGGTGATAAAGGACTGGTAGTAGAATTTTCCCACAATCATATGAGTAGAGCTGGCGTTTCCATTGAATTTCACATAGCCTTCCACATCGCTTCCCAAAAGTTGTTCTCATTCAGGGTGGACTGCAGTCTCGATCTCGCAGTCTTATCAACACCTTGAGCGTGAGTCGAACCGTGGCAGTGCATAATGTGAGCCTGACACGTTAGCCACTCGGCCACATTGCCACAAGTGTCCTTGGGTGACTAGAAGTCATGTTACTGATTAACTGGTAGTCTCGAAACTCTACAAAAAAAAAGTAGCGTAGTCGAGTG